ACTCATCACTCGGAGGTGCCGGCGGCGACGCTGCAGTCGGCGACGGACTTTCCGCCGGCGACGGCGACGGCGCCGGAGAAGCAGCTTTCCCGAAAAGTTCAGCGGGGAGGAGGACTTTATCCACCGTGAAAATCACCACCGGAGTAGCATCGAGCACCGTATCAGCGACCCTCGACGGAGCAACGCCGGTGTGGAGAACGACTTCGTCGCCGGAGTTCGACGTCGTGATATCGTATTTCCCCGCGCCGCTAGTGGCCAAAGTCGAGATTTTGTTTTTGTTAGTCTTTAGAGAGCCTTTCGGTTTGTACTCAGGGAGGGCGTGATACTCTAGGAGCGAGACCACCTCAGCTTGCGTGAGGTTCTTCAGATCGGGCACGTCATCGTCCTTGAAAGCCTCATCGGACGGTGCAAAAACCGTCAACCCGTTTTCGAGCGCGGATTCGTAAGTCTTGAGGACGCCGCTGGAGACGAGCAAGCCCGCGAAGGTTTTGCAACCGGCTTTCTCTAACAGACCGGTTATGTTCGACACGGCGGCGGAGGGAGCAGGTGCGGTCAAGAGTCCCGGAGATATGATCGGAGCGTCGATCTCGAGGACGGAGATGTTGTAAGGGATTTGCTTGACGGATTTTGTGTAAGAGGAGTCGAGCTTGGAGCCTGACGCGGCGGAGCCGAAGCCGACTTTGCCTCCCTTGAGGTCGGTGATGTTGACGAAGCCTAGGTTTCCGGGAGCGTTTCCGGTGGTTTGGTAGAGAGTGGTGGTGAGGACCGTGCCGTCGGAGATCTTGTGGAGTTTCTGGGGGTCGTAGTAGTCGAGGAGGACGAGGAGGCTGAGAGCGTTTTTGATGACGGAGAGGGGGTGTTTTCCGGCGAGGGAAGACATTGCGCCGTTGTTGAGGACGAGGAGGGTGATGGTGGAGCGGCTGTTGATCTCGTCGGCGAGTTTGGTCTGTGAGAGGTAGCTGTTGAAGGAGGAGTATTCGGGGTTGTCAGCGAGGATTTGAGTGATGTTGTGGCTGTGTACGGTGAGGGCAAGGAGAGAGAGAGTGAAGGCGAGGAGAAAGATGGTCTGAGGCGTCGCCATGTTGAGTTTTCAGTGTGAGTGTGGATGGAGCAGAGGAAGTGAGAAGACAGTGGGGAAGGGTGAAGTTTAATGAGGTGAAGTGTTAACTGTGGTTAGGTTATATTTAAACTAGGGTTAAGTTATTCTTTTGTCAATGTGTGTTGTTTATAAGCATGTTGAGTTGGATTGGGGCCATGTGCTTTTTCGGACAATAGCTGTAAGAAGAAAGAGAGGCCATTCCATTTAATTGTCCTTTTGCGTAAATTACCATCGTGGGCTCTGGGCTTCTTCTTACACAGTTTGATATTCTTTAGCAAATATAAACACTTTAGGTAATTTTTTGGGTTCTCAGAAAAAGTAAATAGATTATACTTTTAATTAATCGAGTTGTGTAGGTGTGTATATTTTGTTCACAATTTAAAAATCTGAAAATGTATTTAAACTAGTCTGTTGATTGGTGGCTTAAGTATTTATGATTCCAACCTGGCTTTATTGTAGAATAAAAACATATAGAAAAGTTGACAAAAAAAAAAACATATAGAAAAATACATGTTTTAGAGAATATATATATCCACACTAGTCGGTGAGGGCCAATATTGAATCACTGCTTCCCATTATAAGATTTTTTGAGCTGTTAAAGCAAATACTGTCCACATGTCTACAGTTTATAATATCAATTGTGATTGTGTGAAATATTACTAAGCATTTAATCAAACATTTTTTAATTTTATTTTTATTTAATATAAATAAAGTATTGTGTTTTGTTTTATTTCTTCCTACTGGAAAAGAGAATATATTTTATAACTACAGTTGTTACCAAGTTGAAAAGTATTTAGAGGGGGACATATGTAGTCAACAAATTTTTGAACATTGTGAGACACAAAATGTGCATTCTCTTTTAACTTCTGAAAATTCTCTTCACACAACGCTAGATTACCTATAAGCCACTTGTCCAGAGATTGGGTGAATAGCATCAAATGAGGCAGACACCTTTAGGATCTGCGTGCTTAACGATCCAAGGGTGTTGCATGATCTTGGTAAGAGAGAGCCTTTTGGAGGGGATCCCTAACAAGAAGCTGCAGAAAATTATAAGCAAATGCTTCATAACTAGTCCAGCAAGAGAGTTATGGGTAACTATTGGTTTATCTGACTGATTAGATATCTATTATAATTTTACCCTCTAGATTATCTATAAAAGAATTTTAATTATAGATATTGTAACCCAACAACTGTCTATGGTTTTGATGAAATTAAATCCATTTCAGAAGATCATATAAAATAATTCATGTCTTATGACATTATTCCATAGATTGTAAATAAATACATTTGCATTGATGTATAAAATGTTTACAAGAGTATCAACAGTTCAACACTATACCACTTAAAAGAAGAAATTCAATTAGAGCCAAACTCTGAATTCCAACGTTCAAGCTCTTCCCATTTGCTTTTACTCAAGCTGGGTCTTATCACTGCCATCGATTTCCTAAAATCATCATATCTTAGCGGTCTCACCTGTAAACATTTTATACATCCATTCATCAAACAAACAAACAAACCTTTTCAACCCAAAAGAGACTTCAAAATTGTTTTGAAAGACTTAAAAGAGTTTAGAAGAGGTTTGGTATAATACTTTATTTGCTTGGATGGTGAGAATATCTGCACCGAGTTCTCTGATTGGCATCATTGCAGCTTCTTCACACAATGCTTGTAGATCGCTTCCTGAGTATCCTGCAACAATAACTAAAGCTTATTAGTTTACTTAGACTCCTAACCAGTAAACACATCTAGAGGTATTAAAACACAAATTGTGTTTCTTATACAAAACTTGCCTTCGGTTTCTCTGACGATTTTATCAATGTCTCCACCGGATAGAGAGTGAGGCTGGCACTTCAGTTTAGTTTTGAAAAGTAGTTTCCTGACGTTTGTATCCGGTAATGGTACATATATTCTCTTTACCTAACAAAGTGATCAATTCAAAGCATTTAATTATCAGATTCTTTCATATGGATTGGTGTAGAAATCCTGAAGGTGATAATGTTCTTACCAATCTTCTAAGCACTGCATCATCCAACTCCTGTGGCTTGTTAGTAGCTCCTGAAACCATAATACATCCAAGTAAAATTTATAGGGCAAGGATTAATACAAAACAGATGTAAACCGATACTCAGAGATTTTCTCTGCAATTCAAGCACATATCAGACATGATGGCCAAACAGAGTGAAGACTGAATTAGCCAGAAGCATACCGATGACAATAACCAAATCATCAGGATTAGAAGTCACACCATCAAACTGGATAAGGAATTCTGATTTCAACCTTCTGCTTGCTTCATTCTCGCTGACCGACCTCGTAGACATTATACTATCTATCTAAAAACCAGAGTAAAAATACACACATTTAGATCTCCAAGTGATAATATATTTATCAGTATATCACGAAAGTCATTCATGATATAGAACAAAACAAGCAAGGCTAATTCCAATGGCTGCATCTTACTAAGGCACCATTTTTAGGGGGCACTTCGGTCAAATACAACGTATATGGTATTTACTAGAACTTTACTAATAACAGGTGTTTTGGTTAGTCAACATATACGACAGGAAAGGGGGAAAGTACATACTTCATCCATAAATATCACAGAAGGTTGTCTGGATATTGCAACTTGGAACAACGTTTTGACAAGCTTTTCAGCCTCACCCACCTGACACAGTACATGAAACTCAATTTGTCTATATCTGAAATAAAAATCCCTATTACAAAAGAAAGTAAGCAAAGCAAGGTTAAGTACACACCCATTTAGATGTCAATGAAGATGCTGAGACGTTGAAGAATGTTGCCTGTGACTCAGAAGCAACTGCCTTGGCAAGCATTGTTTTCCCATTGCCAGGTGGTCCAAAGAGAAGCAGACCTAACAAAGAAGTAGTTTCAACAAGGACGGCACAGAAGAATCAAAGCTTGCAAATAATACCTCTAGCTGGTCTTCGGAGACCAGTGAACAAATCTCTTCGTTTTGCTGGTAAAATAACCATCTCCAATAAAGCTTGTTTAGCTCCATCAAGTCCAGCTACAATAGTTCATCATAAGTGTGATACCTCCACATATAGCTCCGAAAAAAGCATAACAATGGCACTCACCAACATCATCCCACTTCACAGATGGACTTCTGTCAACTATAGTTGTGTTGATCATCTCTTCTAACTTATCATCGTACCCACTTCCAGATTCTTTCGCAGGTTTTGGGTTTGTAGTAGCACCTTTAGGGCTCCTCGCCATTCCAACGCCACCTCTGGGAAGTGAAGTCTTCTGTGATGAAACTCTTCTATTAGACGCCGTGGAGGAAGCTGAAGAAGGAGATGGTACATTTCTCTACATAATCAAGAATCAGAAATGATGAATTCATCATATGAATCAATATCACTTAAAATCTACAAACATCACATTCTCCAAAGGAACAAAACAAAAGATAAATACCTTATTCTCAGACATTCCAACACCTAAAACAAGAACGCCATTGATGTCAGAAACAAGTAAACCAATCAAATGTCAATGTGAACACACTAGTGCATAAAAATCAGTGTACTAAGAATCGGTCTAGACGGGGCGCCCCTACGTGTCTGGTTAGCATCTCCAACCCCACTCCATAATTTAACTGCAAAATGGAGTGGGAAACGAAGTAGTGAACAAACAAAAAAGTCATTACTCCATTTCCCACTCTATTTTGCAGTAAATTATGGAGTAGGGTTGGAGATGCTCTACTCGCCCGCCTAATCAATAATCTCATATAAAATGTGCCTAACGATTTCTTGAACATTGATATTAAAATTCAAAGGTATCATCCATCATCACCTTTACGGTTACCAAGAGCTTGCAACCTCTCAGAGACTTGACTCTGCCATTTAGAAATCTTCTCTCTATACGATCTCACCTTCTCCTTCTCACTACCATAATTCAACACCACAAATCAAAAAACAAAACAACTCTAAAATCTAAAAAAAAAAAGAGCATTTACTTGGAACTGATATAGGAAGGAGAAGGCGTGGAGCTAGCTTCACTCATGATCCTCTGTGCGTTTCTGTAATGAAGAAGCGCATCTTCGTGTAAACCCCACTCTTCTGCTCTAACACCTTTGGCGATCTCCTCTTTCGCTAAATCGAAGTATCCTTTGAGCTTATACGCGACCCGTTCGTTAGCTCCATCCACAACGCTCATGGATCCAGATACGGTAGGATCGTGATTAGATTGTTCGTGACGACGATGATTGTTGTCTTCTTCGGTGAAGATTGAGCTAAACGAATCGATTATACCTTTGAAGATACTCATATCTAACAAAAAAAAAACACAAAGGTTGAAGATCATTCATTAAGTTTATAACTCTCTAAGTGAGAGAGAAGGTTAAGACTCGTTATAGTAGGCCTAAGTTTCTATAGTGGGCCTTGGTTTTGGGCCTTTGAGAGAGGAAACGAACCTTTTTTTTCTGTCAGCGGAATCGAACTAAATATCACTCATTAAGTCTATAACCCTCTAAGTAAGAAAGAGATTCCCACTTGTTTACAGTAGGGCTACGTTTCTATTAGAGTTTGACATTTTATCCGATATCCGAATCCAAACCTGAACCCGATCCAAAAGATCTGAACCCAAATCCAAATCGAGAAAGCGAAATATTCTAGATATTAAGTTAGGAGAGATTAGATATCTGAACCCGAATAGATATCTGAAGATAACCGAACATATGTATGTTTAACCTTATATTTCTAATTTATTTCTCTCATTTTATCTAATATATTTATATTGATGTTCTATATGGTTCAAATTATATAATATAACGTATAGTTGCGAACAAAATGATTTTATATTTACTTAAAATGAATATCAAACTTTTCATTCCAAAAAAAAATTCAAACTTTTTATTTTATGCATTAACAAAAGTTGCATTCAAATTCTCACATCATCAATTAAATTAGTGTTTTTTTAATTTTCAAAATTTCATTTCCAAACTTATTAGTTATTTAACCTTTTAAAAAATCAGTATAGTTAATTATAAATTTTCAAGTATAAGAAACTTGAATAATGAAGAATTTGATTATTTTTTCAAAAAACAAAAATATCTGAATTTGACCTGAAATAACTTTATCTGAATCTGATCCGATATGTAAAGATACACGAACAGGTTTTAGACTCCTAAAAAAAATATTCGAGAATCCAAAATACCTGATCTGAACTGAACGGGTACCCGAACGCCCTAGTTTTTAGTATGGGCCTTAGTTTATAAACCCTCTTTATAAGAAACAGGATTTCGAACTCGTTTTAGAAGGCCTTAATTATGATTATGGGCCTTCCTTTTGGGCCTAGTGAGATTATCATCTTCATGGCGCGCCGTGACATTTGTCTTCTACCTCTGTTGTAGTTGACTTGCCTGAAAGAAAATCTCAAAAAAAAAAAAAAAATGGAGACTTTAGCAAGCATAGCTATCTTAGTACTAACCACAATCTTCATCTTTCTATCACTCACAATCTATATAACACTTAAAATCTTCACCGGAAAATCTATACACACCAAGGAGTACTCTCCAGTACACGCCACGATCTTCGACCTCTTCTTCCACAGAGACGACTTATACGACTACGAGACAGAGATAGCCAGAAAGAAGCCAACTTTCAGGTTTTTAGGGATAGGACAGAGCGAGATACTAACCGCTGATCCTCGCAACGTGGAGCATATTCTCAAGACAAGGTTCGATAACTACAGCAAAGGACAGAACAGTCGTGAGAATCTTGGTGATCTTTTGGGACACGGTATCTTCGCTGTTGATGGAGAGAGGTGGAGACAGCAGAGGAAGCTTGCGAGCTTTGAGTTCTCCGCTAGGGTTTTGAGAGACTTTAGCTGCTCTGTTTTTAGGACCAATGCGTGTAAGCTTGTCGGTTTTGTCTCCGGGTTTGGTCTCTCTGGGGAGTCTTTTGATGCTCAAGTAAGTTTTTAGACTTTGGGTTTTATAAATTTGGAAACTTTCTAAAAAGGGTACTTTTTTTTTTTTTTTTGTTAAGGATATGTTGATGAGATGTACATTGGACTCGATCTTTAAAGTGGGGTTTGGTGTGGAGTTAAAGTGTTTGGATGGGTTTAGTAAAGAAGGGGAAGAGTTTATGGAAGCTTTTGATGAAGGTAATGATGCAACTAGTTTAAGATTTATAGATCCTCTTTGGAAGTTGAAGTGGTTTCTCAACGTTGGATCACAAGCTAGACTCAAGAAGAGTATTGCTACTATAGATAAGTTTGTTTATAGACTCATTACCACTAAGAGGAAAGAGCTTGCTGAGGAACACAACACTGTGAGTTATTGAGTTCTCTTCTAAATTTTAAGAGTCGATTACATATAGAGGCACATTTTGTCTTTGTTTTACACTGAAAAACACTTTCCACTTGTGGGACACTTTTTGGTAGGACCAAAGAATTGTTTTGACAAAATTGCTCTTATGAATGGCTAAGTTGTGTTCAGAGAATTTGTGTTCGGGTGATTTGTGTTCTAGAATGTTGCAAATATAGTTATCTCTTATGTTTTATTGCTAGTGGTGAACAAGTATTTTGTTAACTCAAAGATCTCCTTCCTTAAATTAGACGTGGATGATTCAAAACTCTACCTTTGTTAACTCACAAATCCCATCCTTGAATGTAATCCTCTACATCTTAGGTTCATGGATAGTTACAACAAAGAGGAAGAATCACCAACAAGACATTCGGTGAGTGACCACTGATTTTGTGGTCACAGCTCATGATCCTTAGTGAACACAAGCTTCTTCAAAGCTGGTGAGGCCTCAGCAATTCTGAAAAAACAAACCTAAAAATTAACCATAAAGAAACACACTTTTCTTAGATCACTACCAACAACAATCCAATTCCTAAACAACAAAAATAATCCCAAAAACTTATAATTGTAACAGTTTAACAAGTGGAGTTATTGTGATAAAGATGAACACTTTACCCTTTCAATTATGCTATGTGGATCAGTAGCTTGACCACGCCTAGCTGAACCCTTGGACGGATTGATGTAGGCTGATGTGGTGCTGATGGAGCTGGCTGTTGCAGTAGCTGCCCATGGAAAACCTTACAACAACATGAATTTCAGAGTCACGTTTATTACTAACCAAAGTTTAACTATAGTAGTATTTTAATTACAAATGTAAAAGATCCAAAGAGCTTTGAGAAAGAAAAAAAGATTTAAACTTTAGCAAAGAGAAGCATAATTATAAAAGAGAAGTAAGAGAAAAGTACCTTTTTGTGGGAGGAAGAAGATACGATAATCTAAGGTTCAGATTGACCTTCTTCTTAAACCTCAATCTGAGGATTGTAAATCGCATTTAACACACTTTCATACCAAATCCCTAAACAACCAAATAGAGCTTTTAAAGACGGAAATGAAGGAAAGAAGCTATTACTTCTCAGATCTTATCTTCAAACTGAAACTTGATATTGCAATCTCCCGATCCTAATTCATGCTCAGGAGCTCCCTCTCGTTTTTGGAAGAACCATAGAGAGTCCTCATGTTCCTTTTAGCTTCTACCAAAGCTTTCTCCTTTTTTATCCAGAAAAAGTCACCTTTTTTAATCCAAAAAAGTTCATCATCCAGATCGAAAGATCCAAACCCGTAACATGTTCCTCATCCACATAACACGCCGATTTCTGATGAATCCGACGACGCTCGTACCAGAACGAGCTAGAAGAAGAAGAAGCTAAATTGATTTTGGGCTTCAAGCCAGAGAAAAAAATCCAGTTCTTCATTGTCTTCAAAACGAGAACAAATAAGAATTAAGTGGGATAAGGGTTCTTGGATTTGGGAAAGTGAAATTGAGATTTGGGATCAGAGAAAAATAAAGTTTTTGATTTGTCGGTAAAATCAATTATGTTCCTGTCTCTTTAGCTTAGGGTCATTCATGTCTTTTTGGAATGTAGAAGTGTGTCCCAAGCACTATGTGCCTTTATGTGTAATTACAAAGTGAAAAAGTGTCCTACAATGTAAAAAATTCAAATTTTAACACACTATTTTTGATTGAATGTTAATAGTATAATGTTTTGGCTTTGTTCTTAGACTGTTAGAGAGGATATTTTATCTAGATTCTTAGTGGAGAGTGAGAAAGATCCGGAGAACATGAATGATAAGTACCTGAGGGATATAATCTTGAGCTTTATGATTGCTGGGAAGGACACAACCGCTGCATCTCTCTCTTGGTTTTTGTACATGCTCTGCAAGAATCCACTTGTTCAGGAGAAAATTGTTCAAGAGATTAGAGATGTGACATCGAGTCATGAGAAAACAACAGATGTGAAGGGTTTCGTTGAGAGTATAGATGAAGAGGCTCTTGATCAGATGCAGTATCTCCATGCAGCTTTGTCTGAGACCTTGAGGCTTTACCCTGCTGTCCCTGTGGTAAAAAAAATGACCACTCCTTTAAAGATTCTTCTAATGGAACTAAACCATTGAGGATTTAATGCTTTCTTTGGTCCCAGGACACGAGGTGTGCAGAGAATGATGACATACTTCCAGATGGACATAGAGTGAAGAGAGGGGATAATGTCTATTACATATCATATGCAATGGGAAGGATGACTTATATTTGGGGTCAAGATGCTGAGGAATTCAAGCCAGAGAGATGGCTTAAGGACGGTGTTTTCCAACCAGAATCACCTTTCAAATTCATAAGCTTTCATGTATGTACACTCGACTGCAAACAAGCTACGTATAAAGTTAAGAGTAAATACATTTTCTTCTAATACCTGATATGTTTTGTTTCTTTGACTTGTATGTAGGCTGGTCCAAGAATCTGCCTTGGCAAGGACTTTGCATACAGGCAAATGAAGATAGTATCAATGGCACTTCTTCACTTCTTTCGCTTCAAAATGGCTGATGAGAAGAGCAACGTGCATTACAAGAGAATGCTTACGCTTCATATCGAAGGAGGACTCCATCTCCATGCATTCCCGAGGACAAGTACTTGATTTTCACTAGAACACTTGCCACACTTTTATAGTCCCTCCCTGCTTCATGTAAACTCAACAACACTTGCTTACCCAAAATAGTTATACTGCCTGCAAATTCTCATAGAAGCCTAGCGTGTGGTTTAATGTTTTTTTCTCTTTTTTTGATAGATCTTAAGAAATGAAAATAAACACCAATAGACTTTACTGCTTTTATATCTTGAAAGAAATCTCTGGATCGACTCTCCTATCTCCTTCTGCTTAACTTTGGAATATATTTCTTTGCATTGCAGAAACTTTTATGAATAGAAAGAATGTAATAAAATCAACCGAAAAACGCCATAATCTTACAGATAAACAAGCCGAGAAATTACAAATCTACAGAAAGAAACAAACTCAAGCCTTTGGTGTGTATACCTCAACAAACTCAAGAAGCCTTTTGATCTAAACCATCTCCAAAATAACAATGGAGCAAGAAACCAGTTGTCATAAAACAATCGGCCGTATTAAGTTTTACTGGAACTAAACATACTTTTACATATGTTACACACGACAAAACAGACCAAACAGGTTTGATTCTTCTATTCTCTCATTCCCACCCAAGCTTCAGCATCTGATCCACCACCTTTAAGCTTAACTGCAAGTTACACAAGGTTTTACCAACTTTTACCATGGACTAATGATAACTAACGATATCAATTATTTGTGCTTATGAACAAGGCTCAAATGTTAATAAATAAACTAATAAACTTACAGCCGGATCTGTGAAGATTATCAACTGTTTATCTTCCGTGGAAACTAAGAGGTTTGTGTTGTCAACGTTTAGAGCTAGTGTGGTTATATCCTGCCCTTTACCAAGCTTTAGCACATGGAATACCTACAACACAAGTTGTTTAGACCAAGATAATAAACACCACCCTGGATTAGTTTACCTCTTATCAAGGAGTTCAGATTTATACCTGTAGTGTGTATAAGTTGAGGAAACAAATTGAAGGAGATGAAACATCCACTTTCTCGATTTCTTTGACATCTTTTGATGTTTCGTTACTGCTCGAATAATCCATGCTGGAACACGAGTTCATCCCAATCAAGGCGTTTTGACCATCCATAGACATTTCCATGCAACTTATGCTACAAGAGAAAGGTAGTTTCGCTTTGGCAATCAGAACTCCGTTTATGGTGAAGACGCTAATAGAACCCTCCGAGCTACTCCATGCCATAATAACCCCATCAGATGAGATGCAAAGAGAATTAGCCGTCACACCAGCTAATCGTCTGATCAGCCTTCCTTTCCTTATGGAATGCAATAGAACATCCGATGACTCGGAGGACGAAACAACCACTCCTTGATCTGAGCTGACACAGCAAGAAACTATTTCTCTTCTGTGGCCACGGAGCACTTGTATTGGCCCTTCAATGCGACACTTTTTGCCTTTATTTGCCAATGTGTTGGCCAGATTCGTGTTGTTTGCGGAGGAAGGCGCTCCTGAGCCAGTTGATGGCTCAGACACGCTTGTTCGAGAAGTGAACGCCTTGTGGATTCTCCACAGTAAAACAGTACAGTCCCGTGAACCCGTCACGAGGAAGTTGTTATCTGGAGACAGAGCCAGACATGTAACAGGGGCGCAGTGCCCAAAAGCCGTTTCCAGAGTTTTTGCTCCATCAGATGAGACTAGCTTGATACTATTATCCGCATGTCCACCTATAAGAAACACATAAGATTTTTGTAAATACATTACCAACACACTCGAGACATTGGGACTGCAAAACTGCTTGCTTTTTACCTGTTATTATTTCTCCATCGCTTGTTATAGCAACTACGCACGAACTTCTGATTCCTGATGAGGCAAACGCCTGTGCCTGAGGAAATTGCCAGTCACCAGTTCCGGAACTAGCTGGACCCTTGAACATGCGCATCAATGATCCACTACCACTAGTCGACGTTGCTGTTGCTTTCCCGTGATGGAAGAGGAAAGGAGTACCTTGACCATCAGGGGTGTTTGGTTGCCACTTGTGCTGTGCAACACGAGCTGCTGGCACGTTCATGTCCACAATCACAACACTATCTGAAGATGCCTGAATGGCTGAGGCAGGTAAGTTGCAGCGTTCCGGATTTTGGACAGCATAAGGTTTTATCTCTTTTGGATTACGAAAAATGGTCTGCCAAAATTCAAAATAACTGTCATGGTTAAATAGCAATTTAGCACATACGCATATGTAAGTGGATATTTATGTCTTAACTTTCTCCAAGATAACCTATATTACCGTCGCATATATGTACATACAGTAGTCAAAAAGGCTTTGCTAAATCGTATGACATAGACCTCTATAATAAACACTATTCATTATGATAAAAGTTGTTAAGGATTCTATTGACCTTCAATAATCCACCCTCAGAGAAATGATAATGTTTAAAAGAGGTGTTGACTAAGAGTGCAATTTCAAAACCAAATTGACACTTGACGTTACCTGCATGTGGAGGACATCTTTCAGCGGCATCCTTTTCATGTGAGGAATAGTCAATAGCTGGGACGGCGTTTGCCCAAAATAAGCTATTTGGTCTTGCGTAGCACGTTGTTGTACCTTCATTACATATTCACAGGTAAGTCACGAAAACATGTATACTGTCACTGAGCAACTCCAACAGTATAATAAAGTTGCCTTACCGGGTCTGTGATCTTATCAATATCAACAGTCCCCTCGTAGGTAATGTAGAAGAAAACGTTATTTGCCAGTATAGCTTCTTTGCCACGTTGCTTATACCTAAATGAATAAGTTCATTGTTGTGATTATTTTGCTGGACACTCGATAAATGGAGGTAACTAAGTTATTGGAGAACGTGTTGGAGGGGGCCAGGTGAAAACCTACCCAAATATAAGATCAATCCATTCATGCAAATGTGCAGATACATGCTCGCTTTCAAGTGCCCTTCGTTGCTTATGTACAAAATCCACTGGGTTTTTGGCCCAAGGAGGGAGTTTTACAGCATCTGATAGATACAAAAAACGCATCAGCGAACCAAAATTTCACCAGCCAGGCATAAATTTTAGCTATGACAAGGAAGAGAACCACAATACCAAACTTTTCTCCCAACTGCGTTGTACCAAAGTCGATTGAATTTTCGTTGGTGAGCACCTCAGGGAGATAAAACATCTCTGGAACCTGCAAAGCGGCAAAATATGGATGAGGCAGCTGAGGAAGAGGCGAATAAATAAATCTATTCGATGCTTCAGGGAAACCAATACTTACCAACTCTTTCACATCACTCATGTCTTCTAAAACTCCATTCCATGTGGCGGGAATGTCTGAAAACATGCGGTCTGCATGATCAAACTTGCCACCTTGAAGTTGAATTGACAGGGTTGTAAACGGTTCAACTCTTGCAAGATAATACAATACCTGCGCACATGAGATAATAATGACATATCAAAAGGTGTATAAACTTCATCCAGCTACATTAAAAATAGTGTCATTGTCTTTCTTCCAGGACTCAGAGGAATACAAACTTTATACTGGGAATGTAGTTGTTGCCGGATATTATAGAGAAGAGAACTTACTGCTCCAGCGCTTGAGTAATGCGAGCCATAGTGAAATTTGGGGATGACTGGATCTTCAAAGCTAAAATATCGCTCTTGAAATTTTTTCAGCCGCTCCGGGTTCAATGCACCAATTGGCTGAACATATACAGACCCACATCACAACAAGATTCCTAATTTTATAAGCCATCGTATACAGACTTAGAACGAAAAATTAGAAGCAAACTGCAACGGAAACCACCTTGGAAAGATCTCTGAAGGTAGATGGATTTGAAAGGTCCAGGCTTTCTGAACTGTTGTCAGAAATAATCCACGGGAAAACAGGATACTGCAAAGAATAAGATATTTTATGAAGGAAGAAACGATATTGACAAGTTCACAGAAAACGCTAAAGAGCACAAGATTTACCTGAGTAATGTCATTGTAACTACGACCAGCCAACGTGTTAAGCTGCATTAAGTATTCAAAATTGCTAATCTGCAGAAATTATCCAGATGGGGATTTTCTTTATAACACGTTATTCTCAAAAGAGGATTAAAAATTTGCATAACAAGTGGAATCTGCTGTTTATCGGTACCTCCCATCTAGCCCAGCGCTCCATTAACTGAGTTCTTCTCAAAAGCTGTTCCGGCCTCTAAAGATATAACAATATATGTAAGTTTGCAGCACAGGGCAGTAAGTGACTCAGCCTAGGCATATGCTTTATCAATCCTCCGTTGAAGAACGATATGGACAAAGAGTAATTCAAAAGCTAACCGAAAGAAGATAGTAAGGAAAAACTACAAACCTGAGTTGCTAGGTAAATGTTGTTTAAGTGAGGAGGTCTTGCTTGAACGATGGCTCGATATGCATTTCTTCTTCCCTCGGTATTCTATGGAGTTAAACAAGAAAATTGGGACAAGTAATTGGTTACAGTTTAGGGATTGATAACATACATATATCATACGTAGAAAGGGTTTTAGATGCAGACCCCAAAATCAAAGAAAAAGTTTGAACGGTCAACCATAAAGAGTTCCAAGGCGCTCCTTCTCAGGAGATATCTGAGAAATAATCAAAGATATACAACACAGTCACTAATCCAAGTCGAATAGCGGTGGAACACAACCCAATCAAAATAGGAACACTTAACCCAGAGATAATAAAATGAAGTAATGAATAGGAATATACGAGCTAAACAGAATTTTGATGATGAAACTTTACCTTCGGCTATAAATCTGATGAAGGGAAGACATTGGCCAACTACGATCCTTTTCTGGGTCACCTAATTGAGACCCATCTGAATGATCAGTCCTATGCTGGCTTTCGCTGTTGTCAACAATAAAATTTATTCTCCGTGTTGTAATCTGAGAAGGCAAAGTAGTTATGATTAACAACCAGAAAGCCATATAGAAAGCCTATTTGGGAATTGTACTCAATTATAGGCATGCAACAGTTCTTGACTTCACTGCATCTAACTAATCTATAGTCGCTAGTATCCAGTTTTTCTTTCTATTCGTGTTTGCTACTTGTCGAAAATTTAAAACGTTCAGATTAGTCAAACATACTTGGAAGGTTCCTTTCACAACCCTTAGTGGCCGGACCATAGATGTGGAGAACTCAAGAAGGATCCTTTCATCAAGTTCACTAGGA